TACTTTTTATCTCTTTCTCTTGTCTAGTTGCTGTGGCTAAAATTCAAGCATTATTTTGAATAGCAGTAGTGAGAGTGGACATCCATATCTCCTTCCTGACTTTAAAGGAAATGTTTTCAGTTTTTCCGCATTCAATATGATATTGGCTTTGGGTTTGTCATATATAGCCTTTATGATGCTAAAGTTCTTTCTATCCTTAGTTTCTTCAGTGTTTTTAACACAATTGGATGTTGAGTTTTGTGGAAGGATTTTTCCGAATCAAAATGATCATGTGACTTTTGTTCTTGGTTCTAATTATGTGGGATATTTATTTGCATACATCAAACCATCCTTGCATCTCTGGAATGAAAGCAGCTTGATCATGATGTATAATCTTTGAAATGTGTTGTTGAGTTGAATTTGATAATGTTATTAAGGACTTTTGCATCAGTGTTCATCAAGGGTATAGGTTTGTAGTTTTCTTTCTGTTAGGTCCCTAGGCCAAAGTAATTCCATTTTGAAAATCAGAACCTTCCCACCTAGGTATTACCTTCTGGTAAGGCCCACCCCGAAAGAGTCACAACAGAAACCACAGCAAAGACATCAAGTAACAATCATCGGACCAGATGGGTTATTGTTAAACTACTCCATTGTATTTGACTATGTAGATAAGAAGTTTTTCCAGAAGCCTGCTGTGCCTTGCAAAAGGGCAGCCTGGCAGATATTCTCTGTCAATAAACCTTTGTTTAAACTCAGAGATGTGTCTTTTGTGGATATTGTGCCACCTACCGTAACACTTTTCTTGAGGAATCCTTATCTAGTTTTGATATTAAAGTGATATTGGCTTCATAGAATGAATTTGAAAGTGTTCCATTTTCTATTTCATGGAATAATTTGAGAAGCATTGGAATTCTTTAAAGGTCTGGTAGAATTTAGCTGAGAATCCATCAGTCCTGGGCATTTATATGTTGGAAAGCTTTTTTATTACTCCTTCAATCTTATTATTTGTTATTGATATATTTAGGTATTATATTTTCTCTTGGTTTAATTTTGGTAGGTTGTATCTAAAAATATCTCTATTCTAGATTTTCCAATTTATTGGAATGTTTTCAAAATAGTCCATACTATTCCCCTGTATTTCAGTGATGTCTGTAGTAATATCTCCTTTTTCATGTCCAATTTTATTAATTTGGGTCTTTCCTTTGATAAAGGAGATTGATAGTTTAGCTAAAGGTTTATCTTTTTAAAGAACCCACTCTTCATTGTTCCTTTTTATTTTTTTTTGTTGCCATTTCATTAACTTCAACTTTGATCTTTATTCATTCTTTTCTGGTTTGCGATTGGTTTATTATTTTTCAACATCTTGAGGTGCATTATTAGGTTATTTATTTGGGATAATTTTGCCTTTTTTTCCATGTGGGCATTCATACCTGTAAATTTTCCTCTTAGAACTGCCTCACTGTGTCAGAGATTCTGGTATGTTGTGTTTCTATTCTTGGGTGAGCAAATTTTTAAATTTTTAAATTCTCCCTGATTTCTTTGACATATTCACTCAAAAGTATATTGTTCCATCTCATGTGTTTATATAGTTTATGTAGTTTTTAAATTGCTGTTAATTTTTAATTTCATTCCATTATGATATTATAAGATGCAAGGAATTATAAATTTTTTCATACTTGCTAAGATTTTCTTCATGATATAAAATATGATCTTTTTTGGAGAAAGTTTCATGAGCAGATGAAAAGAAAGTATGTTAATTCTGTAGATGTCTGTTAAGTCACCTATAGTATGTTTTAATTCTATATTATCTTAGGTGATTCATACAAAATAGTAATCTATTGGTAAGAGAAGTATATTGAAATCACCTAGTATTATTGTATTGGAATTTATATGAGCTTTTATGTTAAATAGTATTTGTTTTCATGTAGTTAGATGCACAGATATTTAGGAGTATAAATATTAAATACCATTTTATATTTATTTAATTCTCTTCAGTATGTAGTGACTTTCTTTGTTTCATCTAATTTTGGCTTGAAGTTTGTTGGATGAGAGTGCTACTCATGCTTGCTTTTGAGCTTCAGTTGTATGAAATATGATTTTCATCCTTTCACTTTTAGCATATAATATCTTTGCTTCTGAGATGTGTTTCTTACAGGCAACATATAGTTGGGTCTTATTTTTAATCCATTCTACCTGTCTTTTAATTGGAGAACTGAGACCATTTACATTTAGTGTAATTATAAAGAGATTTATTACTTCTTGATGTTTTTTGATCTATTTCTAATGTTTGATTTGATCCTAGTTATCACTTGCTTTTCTACACTTCCAATGGGATTTATTCTTTCCTGAACTCTATTGGTTGTTTTTTATTTTCTTTCATATGTAGGATTCCTTTACGTATACTCTGCAATGCTGACTTAGTAGTTACGCATTCCTTTAGTTTATGCTTATCTTGGAAGGTTTTCATTTTCTCACCAATTTCAAAGGATCTTGTTTGGCAGTTATTTTCTTTCAGGGATTGAAGTATGTCACTCTAATCCCTCTGGAACTTCAGGGTTTCTGTTGAGAAATGTGCTATTATTCTGATTGGTATTCCCCTGAATATAACCTGGCACTTCTCTCTCATAGCTTTTGAATTTTTTTCCTTGATATGGATTTTTGGTATTTTAATTATAATGTGTCATGGAGAGATTCTTTTCTGGTCTTGTCTATTTGAGGGACTAAATGAAAAATATGGAACACTTCACAAATTTCCGTGTCATCCTTGTGCAGAGGCCATGCTAATCTTCTCTGTCATTCCAACTTTAGTACATGTGCTGCCAAAGAGAGCATGAAAATGACCTTTTAAAGCTAATCTTTGAAGTATATGGATTTTTACATCAAAAGTGTCTTAATATTCTGGTATAGCAAAGTGATAAGTCACACTCATACCCTGCCTTGTGGAAACTTGTCAGCTGATTCCTTCATGGATTTCTCTGACTCATCTTCATCAACTTTATGTACATTCTTGGTTCTACTCCCTATTGAAGGGGGCATCTAAGTATCCAAATACATTGAAAAGGGAAGTTTTCCAAAAGAGAGAAGGCTTTTGGGGAGATATGCAAAATCCAAGAGTGATATAGATGACAATTTTACTGACAGTTGCCTGGCACCAGGCTAGCTGACATTGTTGAGTAGTACTCCAAAGACACTGAGAACTGACAGCAACATTGAACCATTGCCCATGTAGCTTCCCTGCCATTGGCTACTGTTAGAATTAGTTCTCAAACTTGAGCATACACCAAAATCACCTGGAAGATTTTCTGATTAAGTCTTACGTGGAGCCTGAAAATATGTATTTCTAACATTCTCACCAATTATATTATTCCATGCTTTGGGAAAACTCATGTTCTCACCTTGCTAACTCCACATGAGTCTTTTTTGCCCATGTGGGTCTCTTAATATATTGTAGGGACTAAATTCACTTTGCACTTATATATTGGAATCTTTTTGTTTTAAAATCAGAAACTCTTTCAACTTCAGCCACTTACTTTCTGTGATTCAGTATGGTTCTTTTTTCAATTGACACATGTCCCATTGTTGGGTTGGGGATAAGACTCTAAGGACATAAGAGATGAAATTGGATTACATGAAAGTGAAAAGAGGATGGAGCAGTTCATCAATTGATACCTTGAGCTATTTATTATCTCATTATTGGAAAAATTTCAGGCTTTGTTGCCTAATAATGTGTACATTGCTGTGATACATGCTTTTTACATGGTATTCTTTACAAAAACTCAAGGATATTTGACTCTGCACATAAAATTTAACTAGAAATTGAGGTCTACATTATCATCTGTACCATGGTTTTAAAATTATTTTAAAAGAGAATACTATCTCCTATATGGAAAACTTCAGGAGTAACTTTAAGAACTAAGTTCTGGAATAGGGATGTAGCTCAATGGTATAGTGTATGCCTCGCATGTGCAAGACCCAGGATTTGATCCTCAGCAAACCCCACTACACCCACAAAAAATAAAAGCAAAATAAGTTTCTTCACTACCAAGTAATAATTTAGAGGGGTGACTTTGAAAATAAAGTTTAATCCTTCCATTAGAGTGCATGATAGATAATAACGATGATAATGGCTTCCATTATGAAGGCATTACCATCTGCAAGTTACTTGCCAAGCACTTTATTGGAGTCAGCTCCCTTAATAAAGGCATCTTGAAATACATGACTGAGTCAAACTCGTCATGCAGGGAATCAAAATAAGCATGGTTATGACTAGAGAGAAGATGCCTACATATATTAAGAAATATCTCCTTTGAATAAAGTGTGATGAAAGTTGATTTCAATAACTTTACTTTTCCTAAAGACAGTTTTGACACAATGGAAAAATTAATCTCAAGCACAAGCAACAATGTTTCTCGCAGTTAAGGGATTTTTTTCCTCAGATATTTCTTCAGCTGGAGATCTTGATATGGCCAATTAATGGATGTTGTTGAAGATTTTTGTGTGTCTTTTGGAAATCTATCAAAAAAGTGTGCCAACCTCAAGTTTACAGTTAAAGTAACTTTCACAAATTTGATGCCCATATCACCAGCACTCAGATCAGAAATCAAAATATCACCACTCCCTACCAGTCCTCCTATTGCTCCTCTTTATAGTCACTCTCCTAGAAATAATCAGTGCCCTGATTTCTGACACCACAGGGGAGTTTTGCCTATCTTGGAACTGATAATATTGTTGTGAAATTAAAATATTTTAATTTTTTTATTTTTCCTTAAGACTAAAAATAGTCTTTGGTGATATTTAATAAGGGCTCCAGTTTTATGGACAAAAGGAGGAGACAAGATACGCAATACCTCAGGTAGATCAGGAGTAGTGGAGTAGTTTGTGTGGCAGGGAGACCACACTGAGCACCTAGGGAGGGTTGGGTATTACCTGGCTAAAATGTGCAGTGCCTATTGATAGGACTGAAGGGGTTTAGAACAAAATACAAAAGTGTGTTTTCACATTAACTTTTGCTCTTTCTCCAGAAAAGGTAATCCACGCTCTTGGACTGTTGTTGCTGGGGACCATGATAGAACCCTAAAGGAATCAACTGAGCAGGTGGGTAGTTTTTTTTAAAGGTCATTCCATCCGCCTTCTAAAGGATGTCATGTGCCATCAAAAACCTTTAGCTAAAATATGGTTATTTATGAATGTTCTAATGCCCCTTTACACTTATAATGTATACCTGTTTTTAAAGGTGCATTTTGAGATGAAATTTTAATTTGAGAATTGGGTGAGGCAGGTCAGGAAGCACAGATCCGGGTTGATTGATTGTGCACAGGTCTGCAGAGTTTTGTTTATCCAGGATCATCAATCCTCAGAATGTGGTTCATTGCCTCCCATAAATTATAAACCAAGATTACCCTTTTAGAATTAGTACAAAATCTTTTTCATTGCTGATGTATGGACATGAAGAGATTCAAGATTTATTTGGGACCATTATGCAAGGAAGTAGCTTGACTCTTTGATTTTCTTATCTTGTAATTGCTTACCCGCCCTTGAAACAGGTGAGAAGGGCCAAACACATCATAGTGCATGAAGACTTTGATATAGTAACCTATGACTCTGATATTGCTCTAATACAATTGAGCTCTCCTCTGGAATACAACTCAGTGGTGAGACCAGTATGTCTCCCACATAGCATGGAACCTCTGTTTTCCTCTGAGATCTGTACTGTGACTGGATGGGGAAGCACTAGTAAAGGTGGGTACTTAACATCTAGCAGCACTATTTATGAGAGTGTAATTTTTAAAAATATGTTATGCAAATATCAAGCAGTATTTGCTTTAGCCTCTCTTCCTTCTGAAAGGAAATAATGTTTTACTTACTTGTAATAGCTCAGTAAGTGATTAGAGAATGAGCAGTCTTAAATTTTTCCTTCTGAGTTATTTAAATAGATTAGATCAGGGGTCAGACCTCTGAAAAGGGCCAGATAAGTCTTTTAGGCTCTGCAGGCCATGTGGTCTCTGTCAGGACTACTCAATTCTACCAGTGTAAGCTGAAGACAATACATGCCACATTAGGAATGGCCATGTTCCAACAGCACTTCATTTATGAAATTTAAAACATAGTATGCATATATGATTGAGTATTTTTTAGATTTTTTTCCAACCATCTAAAAATGTGAAAAATATTCTTAATTCATGGATTATATAAAATATGCCCAGGGTCTGTTGGTATATGACCCAGAATTGATCCTTGGTTGGATATGCTGACCCTTAGGCTAGATTATAAGGTTCTTAAAGCCATAGTAAACACAGAAAGCTCTGAATAGATTGATGTTTGCTTTCTGCTTCTTTTACTGTATGAGATTATTTTATTTTCATTCCATTTGTGTCATTTGCAATAGAGAAGAGTTATCTTTTATTCCTAATGGTATTCTTGTTCACAGCTTACTATGTTACCTATAGCCAAATTGCATTTCATAAAATCTTCACAACTATCATAGCAAATTTTATCATTCTCATTTTCCAAATGAGGCTGTGGCCCTATGTTTTAAGTAATTTTGTAAGATCCCAAGACTATTAAACATCAAAGCTAGGACTTAAGGTCAGCATGGCTCAGCTTATAATCATTCCTTGAATGGCTTCTCATTATATTTAGAAAAAAATCTAAACATTAGCTTAGTTTGGAAATCTCTGATTTGGTCTCCACTTAACTCTCCAACATCATTTCCTCCTTTTGTCCCCTTGTTTGTTAATCTTCTGATACCATGGCCTTCTGTCTTAAATGTCAAAATTGTCCTGCCTTCTAAAGATCTGCACTTTCTTTCTCTCCACTTGGAACACTCTATTGCAGTTTTTGCAGAGTTGCTCTTCATCATTCCATTCTCAAATGAAACGTCAGTCTCCTTCTTGGGCCACACTGCTGCAGCAAGACTACCCTTCCATCCTTCCTTGCTACCTAGTTTTATCATCTCAATGCTCTTGAACATTCTTGGCATTATTTTTTGTAATCATTTTCTACAACTCACCCATTAGTATCAGAGATACAGCTTGGAAGCAGATCTGTCATTCACCACTCTCTCCTCAGGGGCTAGAAGTTAACTGGGATATACTAAGCTTCAGTGTATATCTGTTGACTGGCTTCAAAGTCCTTAAATAAACATACCTAACTCATTTCAAACTTTTTCAATTCTATGACCACTGGACGAATGAGCCATTGTTAGTCTTATAAAATATAATTCATTCTTTGCATCCAAAAGGAGGGAATGAAGTTTTAATTTTGAAATAAGGCCAGCCACACTGATGAGAGGATAGTTCCTGAAAAGGAGTATTAGTGCATTCAAAGGGACATAAGATTTACAGTTGGACCTAGGATTGAGTCCTAATTCTGTTCTGTAAAAACTATATGATCACATTTTCAGATGTTGGGTTTTACAATTGTGAGATCAGTATGATTAACCTACCTCACAATGTTGTTGTATTATGGAGTTAGAGTTTAATATAAAGTTTTACATAAATGGGAAATTATTTTTGTTTTGCTTCAAAAGATACAGGATACATAGCACTAAACTTTTAAAAATAGCCATAAATCTAGAATAAGTCACATAGAATACACTAACATAGGGCTGGGGATGTGGCTCAAGCGGTAGCGCGCTCGCCTGGCATGCGTGCGGCCCGGGTTCGATCCTCAGCACCACATACCAACAAAGATGTTGTGTCCGCCGAGAACTGAAAAGAATAAATATTAAAAAATTCTCTCTCTCTCTCTCTCTCTCTCTCTCTCTCACTCTCTCTTTAAAAAAAAAAAAAAAGAATACACTAACATAGGTTTGCCCAAGTATGAGAAGAAACTTCTCATTAGTTCATCATTAGTGCCTTCTAACATTGAAGATGAGATTGGGCTTTAGCAATAGTAGAGGAAAAGAATCTGATTTTGATTTCCCTAGATCATCATATAAGCATATCTGTTCATATACTTATAAGTGTATATTTATATAATATAGTTATATTTATAAGTATATTTATGTAAATCATATATAGTACAATTCACATCTTCCTGAGTTTTTCTTTTTGATTTTGTTTTCTTTTTTTTGGTGTTAAGAATTGAACCCAGGGTTCTGCACATGCTGAGCACACACTTTATCACTGAACTACACCCCCAGTTCCTCTGAATTCTTATGCGGCACTATTTGATACGATAAAACTTAAACTGGAAATAAGCTAGGCAAAAAGTTATTCTCCCAGTGGCCTCCCCTTTACAAAGATGCCACATGGGGAAATGAAGACATGCTGCATGAAACACTTGTATTCTCCCACCCCCAATATTCTCTATCTGCTCAGGAAAAATAGAAAGGCTACAGTTATGTAGGTACAGAGCAAGTCTGAACTTAATATTTCTTTGGCGTCACTTTCTGCTTACTTCATCATCAAACCCTCTCTTTCTGAATCTGTTTCTTCGGTAGACAGTGGCCTAGCCAGTCGCTTACAGCAGATTCAAGTGCCTGTGTTAGAAAGAGCGGTCTGCGAACGCACTTATTATTCTGCTCATCCAGGAGGGATCACAGACAGGATGATCTGTGCTGGCTCTGCTGTATCTGGAAGGAAAGATTTCTGCCAGGTGAGAGCATTCTGACTTTGCACAGGAAGACAGAAAGTTTGGCACCTACTTGGAGTCTCCTTAGGCAGGAGGAAAACTGTTGAAGGCATAAGCATCCAACTTCTTACCACATCCCTGCACAAAGGCCAGGAGGGGTGCAGGAAGATCTGTTACTTAATCCTAACAGCCTGCAATGTCAGTGGTAGAAAGCAGCCATACAACCAGAATGGCCAGTACATGAGAAGGGAGAGTATGGCAGGACCACTAACCAGGCCTGAAAGTGGGGGAAATGTGTGCATATACATTTAGGGTTTGGGGAACAGGTGATGAGTGAATAAGGTTTCAAATTAGTATATCCTACTTAGAACTTTAAAAGTTTTATTGTTTTATTATTAATCTTCTATATTTTAATTTTTTATATATGACAGCAGAATGCATTACAATTCGTATTACATATATAGAGCACAATTTTTCGTATCTCTGGTTGTATAAATAGTATATTCACACCAATTCGTGTCTTCATACCTGTACTTTGGATAATAATGATCATCACATTCCACCATCATTAATTACCCCAAGCCCCCTCCCTTCCCCTCCAGCCCTCTAAATTTTTAATTGTAGATTAAAATAATCACTAAGAGGAAAATAAGAACCTAATGGTAAAAATGGTTTTCATATTCAGTGAAAAATCACAAGTCTCTTTTCAGTGAGATTATAGAAGCACCAAGCTATACAGATCTATATATGCATGCCACTGGCAAGTTCAGGATCAGCTAAGAAAAAAGAAGCATATGGATGAATACTTTGAGGAATACCGGCTTCAATATTCATAAAGTGCCACAGTCTGGCTGGGCACAATCAGGAGCCACTTGTCAAAAGAAACTAACTTTATTTTTAGAACTACACACACCAAACAGAACAGCTCCTCAAGAAAAACCCTCAGAGCCCAACTGCCACCACCGGCTTCCCACAAGCCTCTCCCCCAACCACAAGCCTCTCCACCTCCCACAATCCTCCTACTCTTGAGGCCGATTGGCTGGATCGCATGGGCGGAGCCAAAAAAGTCCCCCAATGAGCAGCTCCGTGGTCTGAAAGGGCAGGGAAACAGCCCAATGAGCATCACCGCAGAGGAGCCAATCAGCTAGATGTTGCTGATGATAAAGTCAACTAATAAATGTGACTTTAGATACATCACCTCTGAAGAGTTGCTGATACTCGGCATGCCCACCTTTAAACCCTAGTCTGGATTTGGGGGGGTAGCCATGCTTGAAGGAAATTTTGTGTCTGTAGGYTAGGCAGATATTTCTCCAGATTTAACACTCATACTGGTCTATGGTAAAGAGGGAAGAAAAATGAATCTGTTCTTCTCTGCTTCTTTATAACCCTCCCCACTACTACCACCAGCAATCAGTCAAAATCATAAACAAATGAATGTCACTTCTATGGGGAGAAGCTACTGGGCATTCATCAAGGTGGAAGTCCTTCCATATGAAAATATGGAGAGAAAAGGAAGGAACACCCCCTCCCCACACTTAACAGGTACTCTCATGGTGTTCATCACCACTTAAATTCTGTTTGTGTTGCTTATCTTAATTCTCAATACCCAGAAGCAGATCCTAAGATGAGTATTCAAGTCTAATGGTCTATTTCAGGAAGTGTAGACATCACAGGGAAGAAAGTAAGAAGGTACAAGGAAGGGAAGGCAGCCAATCAAGGATGAGCACTTACACCAGCTTACACAGGGAGGGACTAAGCCTTATCCTGCAGGGAAACTGTGCAGTGATGTAGACCATACATGGTATATTCATCTCATCTGAGGGGTGAGGAAACTGGGGGATTTACATACTACTTCCCCAAAGTCACAGTTTTAGGGCTGTCTGGAAGGAAGCCATTAATTCCTCATCATTTCCCATACTTCTGGGTGGCCTGAGCATTGAGGGTGGAGAGTGGGAAAGAGCCTCTGGCACAAAGCCAGGACTTGTGTGGGGAGATATGAGGAACCTGGGAAGGGTACTCCCACTATAGCACATAACTGTTCACATTAAACAATAAAATAGAAAAGAACTCTGAATTAATGTGTTCATTCTTCTCCTTGGTGTATTGAGATATTTAGGAATGGACTGTCTGTTTGAATCAAGGAAATCCCAAATGGCTTTATTGTCTGTCATATGTGACAGCATCTAACATTAAGAGACATGCTTATTTTGTGTCAAGAAAGCAAAATAAAAAAAATGAGATAGGTTTAAAGTGGTCCATGTCACAGGTGACCCAAATATCATCATGTCATTTGGCACCTATTATTTAAGCTTCATTCAACTGTCACTTAGTCTGCAGCATGACCAAATTTACTGCCAACATGAAGAAAGAAAAATATGAGTTGAGATTCTATTAAATATAGCCAGCTATCTTTACAGTAGACACTTGGCTACTGAAGGGTGACTTTAGAAACTCACTTTGATCAAATGGACTCTAATATTTCTATCATGAATGATTTTTACCCTCCTGTGTATGCTCAGAAGTAATGATCCTACTAATGTAATTTCTCATTTAGGAAGGTAAAACTAACAATGTCAGAACATAGAGACTTGGGGCTTTCAGATATGCAATGCAGAATCCTGTTCTTTGCTCACTGGATTTCAAAATTTTTATTTCAAGTTGTTTTGACCTATAAAGCAATAGATGTGTATCTTCACAAAGTGATACATGTCCTGCTCCTGCTTTCTAAATTTGTTTCATATTTTTCCTTGATAACCGTTTAAGCCACACTGATTATCTTCTAACCTCCCAAATTCCCAAGTCTTGGTTATCTCAGGGCCTTAATCTAGACTTATCTTCTATATAAAATGCTATTTATTCCTCTAGTCTTTCTTTCTTTCTTTTTTAATTGGATATTGAACTCAGAAGGACTTAACCACTGAGCCACATTTAGAGACAGGGGTCTTGCTAAGTTGCTTAGGGCCTCAGTAAATTGCTGAGGCTGGCTTTGAACTTGTGATCCTCCTGCCTCAGCCTCCCGAGTCACAGGGATTACAGGTATGCTCCACCGTGCCCACCTCCTCCATTAATAATACCACTGTTTCTTCCAAATCTTCATTTTTGCTTATTTAATTTAAACAAAGCAAATATTTGGGGAAGATTGACTCTTTCATCTGAGTTTTTGATGCAGATTTCTCTTGTAAAATGTGTTCCCTCTAATCCTAAAACCAAAGTAGCAATATTTAACAGTAAATAAGAAAAATTCTGTTTTCAAATTCTGTTCCTTCCTGTATATATGCATATACATACATGTACATGTAAGGACACATATATACCTACCTTTATTCTCTACCATTCACTCTGAATATTTCCTTTATAGCTGCTGTTGCCATCTTATTTGTTCATATTCTATCTTGCTCAGTGTGCCTGGCTCACTGTAGGCACTGAATAATTTTTAAATAAAAAGTATCACTTGTTTATGGAATGTGCTAGGCCTTATGATAGATACTATCAGCGAAAGATAAATTAGATAAGTTCCCTAAATCATGGAATGTTTGTAGCTGCCTGAAAAATTAAAAGTGTTAGTGGTGAAGAATGAATGATTAAAAACAACACCTAACTGGACACATCAGACCATTTTGAAACTGGAAGGGTGTCGTAAGGCTTAATTTTTTTCATAAAGTAAAATTATACTAAGAAAATGTTAATTGTTCTACATTAAACTAGGGGCTCTCCTTATTTCTAATTTAGGGAAGTTTCCTTCTGGGAAGTTTTTCACATAAAATAAACAGATCTCAAATATGTACCTTCAGCTCAAATTCAATTAAATGCAAGAATCAGTTTGGCACTAAATATATTTGGTCCAGTCCCTTTCTGAAAAAGGACTGACTAAAAATATGAAAAAAAATGTGTTAAAATAAAAATCTCGTGTTTTAAGGCTTGTTTTTGATGCATCTAATAGAACTTCATCATAAGAAAACATTTATTATGAGACAGGCACTATACAATGTCCCCTGGAATACAAAGATGAATAAGGCTTGAAGGCTTGAATACTGTGTTTTTACTAACTGGTGATGTCATTTATAGAAGGCCCTGCTGAGGGGACTGGGAAGATTTAGAAACTGTGTTTTCTAACTTTTTGAACTAGGCTTTGTCTTGACCCTGGAATCAAATGATTTTTTAAAAATTTTCAATTTCTCATTCTTTGGGTTGTACATGATGTAGAATTACATTGATGTGCAATCATATATGCACATAGATAGTAATGCCTGATTCATTCTGCGATCTTTCCTATTCCCATTCACCTTTGTCTAATCCGAAGTACTTCTATTCTTCCCTAATCCGTGCTTATGTGAATTAACATCCACATATCACAGAAAACATTTGGCTTTTGGTTTTTAGGGATTGGCTTATTTCACTTAGCATGATATTCTCCAGTTTCATCCATTTGCCAATAAATGCCATAATTTCATTCTTGATTGCTGAGTAATATTAATATTCCATTGATTTTTATCTGTTCCCTTTTAAAATGGGAAAAATACAAATTTACAATTAAGGCATAAAAATTGAAAAGGAGCAAGTCATTTTAAAAAATCAAATACATTATGAACAAATTATTGGTCATTCCTGTTCTAAAATGTGAAAGCAGGAACTTCAGAATAAAGTGGTTTTCTGGAACATTTTTTCTTATTTCAGGGAGACTCTGGTGGGCCATTAGTGTGTAGACATGAAAATAGCCCCTTTGTCCTCTATGGCATTGTCAGTTGGGGAGCTGGCTGCATCCAGCCATGGAAGCCAGGTGTATTTGCCAGGGTAAGGGTCTTCTTGGACTGGATCCAATCCAAAATCAAGGGTAAGTTTTTTTAATGTAATTTTTTATTTATATATGACAGAAGAATGCATTACAATTCTTATTATATAGAGAGAGCACAATTTTTTATATCTCTGGTTGTATACATAGTATATTCACACCAATTTGTGTCTTCGTACATGTACTTTGGATAGTAATAATCATCACATGTCACCATCATTAATTACCCTATGCCCTCTCCCTTCCCCTCCAACCCCTCTTACATATTATAAAACAATGCCTCTTTCTTATAAGTACTGCATGCTAACCCATTGTGCCACTGGAGTTCTAAGCCTCTTTCTTTAGGGTAGGTTTGGGATTGTCAAGTATGGTATAAATGAGTATTAGAGAAAAGAATCATATTTCATTTAGTTTATAAACATATTAAAATGCAAGATTCTATAATAACTTCCCCCTTTGTCAAAATTGAGTAAAACTGACTTTTCCTAAGGCTGCTTTAATTCTAGATTTGCATTTTCTTTTAATAGTAGCTGCTTTGGGAATGAGTACATTTTGTCCTTAGGCTTTCATCTTTATTTTTAATGTATTATCCCCCAATGCAGGTATTACTTCACTTAAAAAAAATAAAAGCAAAACCTTAAGAAAACAATTGCCAATATCCACACTTCCAACAGACAGTGCCTCTGGGCCAGGTAATATGTGTATACATTATCTCATTAATACATCCAGAAAGAATTGAGCAAAAAGCATTATAAACCTGGATTCACTAATTTTTCTTTGGAATGCCACAAACTCTGTAGTTTCTTTCTAGTTGGTAGGAGCCACATTGTTTGGGGATGTTTTCCATCCCACTTTATAGTGGTTGCAGGTGATAAATCTTGTAGTTGTGAATAAGTGCTTGAATTTGGGGGAATTGCATAGGATTATTTTAAACTCTGAGACATTTACTCCTACCGTTTAAAGGTCCTTAGACTTCCAGATATCTTTCTTAGTAAAGACTGTATATAAGATTAACAAAATTGGCATCAGAATCTCTCTTGGGCTGTATATATGGCTCAGTGGTAGAGTACTTGCCTACTGTGTGTGAGGCCCTGGGTTTGATCTGAGCACTGCGAATAAAAATGATGATGATGATGATGATGATGATAATACTCTTAATGCTCCTACAATTGCCATTGTATGTTTGCTACTAGGATTTTTTGTTTTAATCAAAAGTTAACAGTAATCAGAGAATTAGAAGTCTGTAACAGACTTGCATGAAAGTTCTGGGATACTATAGTCTTTTTCACCACCTCTGCCCGACCTCCACATGCACTCCTCCCAAGATGACAACTAGTAGGAGTTGGAAGAAAGTTGAAGAGGATGCAAGACAGAGAAGGTAGAATTGTTAGAGGGCTGCCTTGAGTAGAAGAAAGGGGCTGGGACTTACTGCTTAAAAGGAAGGGTAGTATTGGATAGAAGCAAAGTTCATACAGAGTTGTTGGATGAAAGGCTGAATATTTAGGCAGTGATGCAGGTATGCTGGTGTATGGGTGCTTGCGGAAATTCTTTTCTGATTGCTTCTATTTTCTCAGCAGATGATAGAAGGATCTATGTAAAAGGGTTTGATTAATTTTAAGAGAAAACAGCAAGTATGAAGTTTTTCTTTAGAAAAATGATAGTGTTTGGGCTAGAAAGGCGTGGTAGGGTTGCTGAGCAGCAGGACCCTCCCCAAGGTGAATGATCATGAATTTAGGGAGAGACTTCCCAGTTAGCCTGGATGTATGTTTTCCTCTGAAGACACTGAGGTAGACTCAGAGTGGGTGGAGATTATATCATAATGAAGCTTCCCAAGTATATGAGAATGTAACGTGTGTGAAGAAGTGATTAAAATGATCATTGAAATTTTTAAAAAAGTATTTTTAGTTGTAGACGGACACAATATCTTTTTATTTTTATGTGGCGCTGAGGATCGAACCCAGTGCCTCACGTGTACTAGGAAAATGCTCTATCACTGAGCCACAACCTCAGCTCTGAAATTTAAGATGGGTAAAGAATGTGGATGAGAGATGGGTTTAGGATAAATGAGAGATAAATTACAAATCTCAAAGGTAGAGTATTGGGTGGGGGAGCTGGAAAGATGGAAGATTTTGGTTCAAGAGAGTGATACTTTTTTTAAACTTATTTTTTGACCCAAAATGTTAAGATTTTATTTACAATGCATGTTTGTGGTACAGAAAGTAAAAATGCTGTTATAATTTTGGTATAACTGGTAGCCACGGATGGTTGACTCGCCAATCACAGCTATCCATGCTACAGCAAGTCTTACCCCCCCAAAAACCATAACAATGCTTACAATTTTGTTGGGGCAAAGTCCTTAGGCTTGGTGGATTACCAAGAGGCACTAAAAGGAGGAAGGCAGAATGTCACAGGAACTTCTTTGGCTCTTTGGATGGGTGGGTGTCCAGGGGTTTGTATCACAGCTACCATTTTTTGAAACATCTATCAAATCCATATGCAGTCCAATCTATACTGAACAGTTCTGGTTTTGCAGTTTATCTGGGGTCTTAATCATCTTCTCCTTCATCATCTGTTTCTCTTTTCACCTTTCTCACTTTCTTCCTCTTCATCCTCATCTTCATCTTTACCTACTACTCCCTCATGCCTAAATTCTTCCTCCCCACTGACTTCGTCTTTATTATCTTCCCCTTCTACATTTTCATCTTCATCAAGCTCTTCCTCCTCATCCTTCTCCTTTTCCTCATCTTCATCCTCCTTGTCTTCATCCACACCATCCACCTCCACATCTGAGTGGGGTCCTTCTCTGTCATCTTTGTTATAGCCTTCCAGGTAGGTGGACAGGGGCAAGAGCCTGAACGCACTTGTGGAAGGCTTGGAGTTATTGCTATTGACCAAGTCTCTAGAGGCTGACCATTGGGATGAATGGCCAACGTCAGGTGGAAGATGAGTTCATTGTAGGAAAATTGAGGAATTGGGAAGCTTCACTGCTGGAACCATTGTCTACATAGCTATTGAAATCACCAAGAAGTATGACAAAAGTAATGTTGGAGCAAATAAGCACTAAATAATCTAGGAATGAGGAGGAGTGACCCAGGAGCATTTGTCTGGCAATATAGGAGTCAAAGAATGAATGCTTGGAGTGACGCTGATTTGAATTAAAAGTAAATCTAGAATGAAGGCCGAGATGGAGAGAAGACACGGGTCCAAAGTCTTGAAATCTTTAGTTTCAATGATCTGAGTTAAATGAATGATGCCAATGACTACCTAAGTTAATACCTAGAAAATACTTAGAAAGGTGGGGAGGGGGATCTGACTCATGATAAAGGTCATTAAGCTGTGGTGATGGTTGGCCACAACACCAATGTATTATTTGAGTTCCATTCAGGCTATTAAAAAATGAACGTTAAAGTAAAGAAGGGGGCTGGGGTTGTGACTCAGTGGTAGAGTGCTTGCCTAGCACACGTGAGGCACTGGGTTCAATACTAAGCACCACATAAAAATGAAATAAAGATTGTGTGCCCATCTACAACTAAAAAATAAATATTAAAAAATGTAAAAAGATATTTCTATGTATGCACAGAAATGCTTATGCATGCCTACGAACTTTGAATTTTTATGATAGGGTGTTTCTTTGTTTTCTATGACTATTTTATGAGATAAATGTTAGGATTATGCCATGCAAACCTTCAACCACTACTACCACTTGCTTTTTATACTAGGGAATTAGCAAATTATAGCAATGGTTTTGAGATTGTTATTCTCATTTATAAAAAAGCAGTGACTGGCTGGGAACTCATGACTCTATGTGATTTTTGTACTAACTCACATTTCTAGGCAGATTTGTCATAGAGGGTCCAGAGAGAGGAAAAAAAAATATTGGACAGACCTATTGGATCCAGATTCTGAAACACCGTGAAAGCTGCACTACTTCAGTTGTTTTGCATAGGGAAGGAACTTAATTATTTTGTTTTACTCACCATGCTCAAATTAGAGAGCCTGGTGGAGAAATAATACAGACAGGGAGATCATTTAGTTTGCTCTTAAAATAGATCTGGAAAATATCTGTTTAATATTTAACAAATAAAAATAATTTACCAAGAAATAACAGGACTAAGCAATGGACTAGATTTCTTAAATTTTTTGCAGGGGAGTACTGGGGATTAAATCTAGGAGGGTCTCAACCACTGAGCCACATCCCCAGCCCTTTTTTGTATTTTATTTAGAGACAGGGTCTCACTGAGTTGCTTAGGGCCTTTCTAAGTTGCAGAAGCTGGCTTTGAACTTGCTATCCTCCTGCCTCAGCCTCCTGAGCCACTGGAATTACACATGTGTGCCATCTATCTTGGCTAGAACCCTGAATTCTTGCAGCACTTCATTAGCCTTAGGCCACTTATCATATTTAATGTTCATAAAAGTATTTTTATGAATATGCTTCCTTTTACTAGATTAATTTCTGTAGGGCAGAACTTATGAGATAGTGTATGTATTCACTAATCCACATATTAGAATATAAATATATATAGGATATTTCATTTTGTAATTGCTTAGAAAATATTTGCCTGAGGAATAAACATAGGGGAAGAAGGAATAGTCAAGGATGAAGCCTAAATTGGACTATTGGGAGGAAAAGCTGATTGCAAAGTCAGTGAACCAGAGAGCTATTGGCACCAAAACTGCAGCAGGTACACTCACAGGTCCAAATGTGCCCTTGGACTTAGCAAGTTCTAGAGTGAGAGACCTCCCTTATGTTCAGCAAGTTCTCTTTTGCTTGACCTCAGTCACTAGTTCTATGAATGTAATCACTTGCCCCCAAAATACTAATAATTTTCTGAGAAATCTTTTAAAAATTCAGTTAAAATTAATTTAAAATCTACAATTTCATTTCAAGAAAATAGAACAAACTTAATGGAATGATCATTTTCTTTACAAGTTCTTGTCAACAGGTAACTGATGGGAATAAAGTTTTAATTTTCTTCTTGCAAGCCTGGGTCTTTCAAGTTTGTGATAGAACCTTGTTTCCCTTTGCTTTGTCTTTGTTGGTCCCTAACGTCCATGCGTTCTGAATTGCAGCTTCTGAAGTGAAGCTAGAAGAGCTCAGAGCCTTTTTTTCAACTCCAAGATATCCACTGCATTATAGAAGAAATCTGGAAAGTCCCTAGGTGCTCAGAGTGGCACCAAAGAGTATGATAAAGTTTCCTGTTGTGTGTCTATCATTCCTTGGATCTCATATGTAGAGATTCGGTTCTGATTATTTATGAAACCATGTTGAGAGAAAGATAGCAAGTAATCCTTCCTGGCATTCAAACTCTGTACAAGAAGCTTTTTCTGTTTAGGCAGCTTATGATCAAGAGTGAGTTTTGACTTGGGGAATAATACCACATCTACATTAATTCATGTAAAATAGGAGTACTTTTTTCTTCTAAATACCCTTATTTTTTTTCCAAAATGTGAATTTACAAAGAGGAGGGGGAGAGATAGAGACAGATGCCAAACTTCTTCAACACACCAGGACCCTGACAGAAGAGAATATATAGTGGAAGAGAAGTTCAAAAGACATTTAAAAAAAAAAAGATTCAAAGGTAGGAGAGGTGAATGAATAAAAACATTAAAGCAAATGATGTTAAATATTTTTAAATAGAAGGATTAAAAACATTAGCTAATAATAAAACAGCTCTCATTTTTCATTTTATGTAGTGACAAATTTTTGTGTTTCAATAAAGCAAACGTTCTACCTCCTGTTTATATGCATGTTGTGAAAACTTTGGCTTTCAGTTAGGAGAGAAGTGGGAAGGCAGTTAAAATAATTTGGTTAATGAAGGAACATAGAATAAGTTTTCATATGTCATCAAAGAAAACTAGAAGACTTTTTGCTCCTCTCAATTCTTGACTTGGAGTGCTCTCTTAATAAGATCTACCTTGACAGATGTAAATGGTACCATCCCTGCATCCATAATTCTTGGTCCCTTATCTTAGCACTTACTGTCCTCTGATATGTCATGATTGTTTCTCATGGTTGTGATTTGCCTGTCTTGCCTAGTGAATACAAGCTTCATGAGTGCTAGAACTTCTGTCTCTTCACTTCCAGAAGCCTCAGTTCAGAGATCAATGCCTGAAACATAGAAAGCACTAATTATTCAGTGAAGGAATAGTCTCTCTTCAAAGAATCCTTTCTAATTCAAAGTAGCATCATCCATTCCTTCCCATAAGTCATTGTCTGTTATGCTGATTACTTAATCTGTGTCCTTAGTCTTTCTCTGAAATCATTTATCTGAGTAAAGTGAAAAATTTGTGAAAGTAATACTTTTCTCTTGATCTCTTTTGTATACCTCAAAGTGAATACAGTGCCTAAGGATTTAGGAACATTTTTTTTGTATGATTTTTTTTTTTTTTGCCAGGTTTCCTTTTCTGTGCATTGCTTTTTGCTGAATTGCTCTTCAGAATGAAAAACAGTTTCACTGATATTAGCAATGCATGGGATTCATTTCAACATGCCTAGAACCTCATTATGCCAATTTAAAGGCAGTTTTATTTTTTTAATTAATAGGGATAAAGTTTTCTAAATGTTGGTTAGCTATTATAATTTTTATGACTTTCCATTACTCTTTGTCCATTTTAAAAATTTGAATATTGTTTATAAAGTTTTACAGGAACTTCAGATACAGAAGTAATTTTCCTTTGTCATAAGTTACAAGTGTTTAGCCTCATTGTTGCTATTTGTTTTTAAATTTTATATTGATATAAAAATTATTAAATTTACTTATTTAAATCTATTTACACATGTCTTGGATCTTCGATTTATCCCATCACCTTTAGGTTTGAAATTTTTCCATTTTATGTCAGGAGAATCTTTTTAATTAAAAAGAACTTGCCTCTTGCATCCTGCTGCAGTGTTTTCTCATGTGGTAGAGTGATTCTGTACTTATCTCTTTCTTAGAATTATTTTCTTCCTAATTTATAGCTCTGTCTCTATAATATATTCAATTCTTTATATAGAAATATATTTCCTGGGGAAGCATTATCACCTTTCAAAATCATTAGCCTTTGTTATAGGTTTTTGAGGAATCCCTGTAATTTTCCAACCAAGCATTTCTGTGATGTAGAATTGTCAGCTAGAATCTTCTGGAATTGTTCTTTCTCTTTAGATTATAGATGTCAAAGCCACAAGACTAATGAAAATATTACTCCTTCCTTGACTGAATGGTATTCTATACTGTCAAATGCTATGTTTCTCCTTGTGAAAGCTACCAATACATTCAAGAATTATATTCATCTCTCCTTGGTGCAAATAAATATGTGAACATTCCTTAGATATTTTAACATCATTTGCCCTAATATGCTAACTAATGTGTTTTCTTCTTTTTGCCTTAGAATATGATTCCCTTCCTCCCTGCAAATGTTTGTGGAGCACCTAATTGAACCAGGGACTAACTTCTCTTAGTCCTGGGGGATCTAGTAGTGACCCAAATAGATAAAAATCCCTACCCTCATTAAACTCATTCTAATACTGAGGGACACATAATAAGGTAAAATATATATTAGATGGAAAGTTTAAGGGAGGGGGGAATGAACATGGTAAGAGGGTAAAGAAGCATCTGGATTAAATGCCATATAGCTCAAAGTACTATAATCAGTGAATATTTTTCTGTTATCAGTGAATATCATTTCAAAATCTTTAGATAACACCTAAAGGTTTTGAAATGGTAAATCATTCCCAACAGTAGAGGCATGTGAGTCTAAATGACTCCCAAGTTTTTTCTATACCATCTTAAAAAGTACTTTGAATTGTTTTAGAATTATAACTTTCCCTCTCATCTCATAGTTTCACAAAGTAAAGCAACCAGTAGAAGATTGACAGTAGGGAAAGGAAAACTTTCAGGTAGGAAAACCTTTGTTCCTTTTTGGATCTTTGTAATGACATTTTTAATAGTTAGGTTATTTTTCTGGGATAAAAATGACACATTTGTGTCATTTTAAAGATAAAATAATTTATAATTATCCTTCAAGGGGAACCTCGTAACATAATAGACTATGGAGTGTAGGGGAGTATTAGAATCATAGACCCAGGTTAAGATCCTGGCTCTCTACTCCACCAGTCTGACTTCTGAGTAAGTCACTTGAGTTCTACAGCTGTATTTCCTCATCTCACAGAATGGAGTACATTCCTGTCTGATTTAAATTAATTGCTCTACCTAAAGTATAGAAACTACTAAAAAAAAAATCCAACTTTCCTTGAATTGACTACTTAAAAAAAACAACAAAAAAAAAACAGGTGAACTACATCAAGGAAGACTTTACTTAATAATTTTCACATGCTCTGGATCATGGCAAGGGTGACATTCTGTTCCCTTTTAAACAAGGTGCTTTAGCATAAGCTATATTGTTTTCAGAATCCAAGATATGTTTGTTCATTTTAGCAGTAATTGTAGGGGATGAATTTGTTAGGAAAATCTACTTAAGCCATCTGAGATTTGGTCATGTCTAAATGAGAAACTGGTCAGTGAATCATGATTGACATGTAAATCATCAAGAATGATAAATTCCTTTGGGTATTTAGTTTCATGCTTGCCTAGCATGTGCAAGGCCCTAGATTTGATACCTAGCACCCCCTGCTGCCAAAAGATATAAGTACATATAATACTGTGTGTGAGTATATATGTGTAAGTATAAATTTTCAAACATGGCTAAGATAGTTGATTGCAAGTTAATATTTTTGACCATGATTGTGATTTTTTTTAATACCACAGAGAGCTTTTTCTACAGCTATATTTCTAGTGGATTTAGAAATTTGGGTTCTAAATATTAGCTGTTTGATTAGCTCTGGACAATTTATTATCACTGTATCAGTTTTCTTTATAGTGTTATAAAAACAATAGTTTACAATAATGTTAACTATGTAATTCAGAGTTGTTATATTATACTGTAGAAGTTAACTAGTGAGACTTTTCCCTATATTTTTAAATTGGTGACTTAGTTTTAGATGACGGTGGGATTTGTTGCAAATTCATACATGAAAGCAATATATCAGTATAATTTGGCAAATATCCTATCCAAAATTTCTCCTTTTCCTCCCCTCAAGTGAGGCTTTTGATTCTGGGTGAATGCAAACAACTGAAAGCATTAGAGAATATATTTTTCTAGGCCTGAGTGTATTGCACATTTGGGAAAATTGTTAAATGAATAATAAAAGCATATCATATTAAAGCTTTCTCTTGAGCTATATTAAGAATGTGACTTTCAGATGGAATTGGGCAATCAATAGGCATTATTGACTTATTTCATATAATCCTCCATTGACTCTAGGCTATGTCAAAGTTAATTTTGATACGTTAAATGTTTAAAATCGGGAGGCTTTTCAGTGAAACCAACCTTTGCATAATTACTTTTTCCTGTAAGACAATTAAGGAAGAAAGTTGATTGCTTGATCTGAAAAGACATATAGCAAACCTGTTTAAAAAAACTAGTTTTATTCTAATTCCTTCTACTTCATTTTTATCTAGGTTCAAAGGGTAGTGAAATAACCAGAATTCAAACCAAGAGCCCACAGTCGCTTGTGAGGATATTCTTAAAAAGTTCTCAGGATACAGATCTTAAAAAGTTCTCAGGATACGGATCTTAAAAAGCTCTCAGGATACAGATCCTAAGATATTCTCACAGGATGATTATGAGGTAAAGAAAGGAATGTTTATTATAATGGAAGATGTATATGAACTGTACTTGACTAACATCAACAGTGGTATTTGCTTAAATCATTATTCTCCATCTTCTCAAACAACATACTCCTAGGAAACCCTGGATCAATTGTTTTTAACATGAAAACAACAACAAAAGACTGTTTCTGTAAATAAATTGTGCTTTCTCCACAAAAGAGACAACTTATTAGGCAAAATGGAAAGTCAAGTCTCAGTCAAAGTATTGTGGAGATGGAAATAGTGTGTAAAATATTCTGAATACAGTAGGTATTCAGTAAATTCCTAAATTCCCACAATATAAAGAAATTCCCTTGAATTAAGAAATAAAATACATTTAAAATGAGAAAATTTTTGTTAGGGAGTTGTAGGCAAATTCTGGCATACATAAACCCTTAAGCTCTTATAGATTGCCGATCAGAATTTGGAATAATACACAGAATCAACTGTTCACCTTCATATGTTAATTTTAACTTTTGACAAATTGGGTACTAGCAAGTAATTTTAGTTGGTCAAATTTAAAGTAGAAAATCTTTATCTCATCCAAGCACAAAGAAACAGAAAAGGCTCACTGAAAGTCAATAACATTGATGCATTAAATTCTGAACAAATAACAGTATATTCTGTTTGAAAATTGTTTTTCTTTCATCTATGCCATAGCTGCCTCTGAGGTTTAGTAGCCCCTTTAATTCACATCATTCGCCTTGAAATTATCAAGTTCCAGATGAAGCTAACACCCTTGATTTATCAGAGTCAACTGTGGGTTTATGAAAGATTTGTACCCGGCAAAAAAATAGGTAATTAATTTTCCATGATCAACTATGCTATTAATTTTATGATACAGTCCTAGATTGTTTTATGTTCCCTGGAGCTTACAGATGACCTAAACTAGTCCCTCTTATGTGATGTTGAAATAGCCTTACTGATATCATTTTCCCAGATTTATAATGGAGATTAACATAACATCTTTTCAGATTAAGTTAAAAACAAAACATGGGTCACACCTAGATTAAATTTGTTTAAAAAAAATCACTGAAAACACAGATACATAGGAAAAGGCATTCGATGGGTTTATTAATTAGGTAGTTGCTGTTAATTAGTTACAGTAACATTTATTTTCAAAGAAAGAGAAATCCAGAAGCACCTCTATTCAACAGTTGAACTCCACTAATACTGAAGTTCCTGTTATTCTTTTGCCCTTTCCCTAATGATTACATAATGGTTATTTTTATTCTCAGCCTCATATTGGAGAAATAAAGGACTGAGGTAAGGAATAGCCCTATTAAGAAGGGAAACATGTTTCTAAGTATCCTGTATCAAATTTAAATCTTTTCACCCAGAGCTGTTATATGGTCCTACTTGACTTGGGAGATAGATAGGAGAAACAAAATGGAAAAAGAGTTTGAGAGGTCAACCAACATTTCCTAACATGGGAGAACGTAGCAGTACACAGTTCTGGAATCTCATGATCCTGAGTCTGTATCTTAGTTCTATCTCTTACTAGTTCAGTGACTTTGGGAACAACCCCAAGGCTTACTAAAACTCAATTTTCTTATTTGTGAGAAAATACCCTCCGCCATCATGTACACATACACATGCACTATAAATTCCCAATGCACTTTATCAGGATAGGTTAACATCCCAGAGGAAAAGCTGTATGGACTTTTGTTGAACTTTGGCTCCCTAAGTAGCCAGATGCTAATGTCACTGTCCACTCAGGTATGCTTCCGCCAGTGTTGATGCAGTGGCTAGGTGCTAGAGCAATGTCCTTTTTATTCCTTGGATTTACATTACCATCCCAGAAGTAAGTACACTAACAATCTTTGGGTTTCCACTAAAGGGAATGTTAAGTACTGAATTTTCTTAGATCCTGAGCAAATTTACCTTGAAAGAGGTCTGAGTTTCTTGTGGGAAGAATGAAGTGTCCCTGTGTTTATACCTGTCTTGCCTTGGAGAACAGTTTTGTTGCATTGCCTCATGAGGTGGTTTTGAGAATAAAATGAGAGAATCCATGCTCATCAATATAAAGAAACCAAGCTGTGGGAATTAGAAATACCCATTCTGATTCATGTTCTTAAAATCGTGTTGTTTAGAAGAATATTAGACCATTGTTTTCCTGTTGCTCTCCTCCACAGTGCACACAGAGGCTGGAAGAACAAAGGAGAGAAAGAGGAATATATTAGTGATATAACTTATGTTGATAATGAACTACATATATGGTCTAGGAAAAAAATCAAGATGGAACAGCATTCTTTAGGGGCCCTTATGAAGGGCCATTGCAAATCAAATCTGCAGATATGTCAGCAGGTGAACTTTGAACTAGTCTATAGATAAACCTACCCAAGTATGTGAGTTGACCTTTCAAAAGGACTGTTAACCTCCACTGACCTTCTGTACAATGGACTCCTGCCCTCAAACTACTGAGATTGAAACCACACCCAGTCCCTTTCTTACAGGACAACTTTGGCTTTTGTCAGCACCAATCATAATTCCTGACCAACAAGTAATTGTCAACCCCCCTGTGATTTAATGTTAAAAATTCATTTTGTAAAACCTTTGGGAATAGGTTTTACAAAATGAATTTAATAATGGTTATTTTTATTCTCAGCCTCATAGGTTCCAAGACTGCTTGAATTTTTGTTTTCCTGGCGTGAAATCCGAATTAGCCCCAAATGAATGTAATTTTTTTTTTGTTCTCTACTAGGTTGACTTTATTCTTGGTCAACACTATTTTTCTTAGACTTAATAAAACACATAAGATTTCCTTCTCAAAAGTTTCATAATTGTATTTCAATTTCTCTAAGGCTTACAGGCTCTGGGGTATAAGAGGAAATTCATATTCATGTTTCCTCTACCTATCTCTAATATTATCTTAGAAATATATATATATATCTTCATTTATATATCATATATATATATATATATATATATATATATAATCTTTATATATATATAAAATCTTTATTCCTGGCCAGAGTTCCTAATATCTCCATAGTTCCCTAAGAGATAAGAATAGTTAAGGGAAAAGGAGTGCCTTTTATTATTAAGCCTCTTTCATCTATGCCTGAGTTTGTACTGAAGTGACTTTTGGAAAGTCCCTATTGTCAGAGGAACCGACCATGTGATTAGACAGTTGGAACTTATAACTCCACTCTGCAACTTCTGGGGAGGGGAGAGCTGTAAATTAAGTTAATCACCAATGAGATAATCTATCATACCTATGGGTCCAGATGTGTGACTCTGGTAAAACAATTCCTTACCATGTTCAAAGCCTAAATTTAATCCTCAGCAAAACAAAAGGTTAAAAAAACATATTTTACAAAATCATGCCTGTGTAACAAAACTTACATTAAAATCCCAAAGGATATATCTCAGCTTCCAGGTTTATGAACACATGAAGGTAGTGCCTGGAGGGTGGTGGGCCAGGAGAGAACATTGAAGCTGTGTCTCTTCTCCATCATATCTTCATGGTTCATCTTTTTCCATTTGACCATTCCTGAATTGAACCCTTGGTAATGATTTGGTAAATACCGAATGTTTCCCTAAATTCCTTAATCCATTCTAGTAAATTATCAAACCTGAGGAAGAAATCATGGGAACCCCCAATTTGCAGTTGGTCAGGTAAGAACACAAGTGATAACCTGGATT